GATTGGATAGCTAGGCGTGGGGCGGAGCCTCTGGGGACCAGACTTCCGGTCGGCTCCTCTGTTGCCAGGGAGACAGCCGCCAGGAGACGGAAAGAGCCGAGATTAGTCGTTGCCGAGAGAGAGAGAGCGCGGGAACGATGGCGGCCTCGGGGCCCAGTTGTCGCAGCTGGTGTTTGTGCCCCGAGGTGCCATCCGCTACCTTCTTGACAGCGCTGCTCTCGTTGCTGGTGTCCGGGCCCCGCCTGTTCCTCCTGCAGCCGCCCCTGGCGCCCTCGGGCCTCTCGCTGCGGTCAGAGGCCCTGCGTAACTGGCAAGGTGAGCAGGAGTGGGGCCGGGATCCCCGTGCGAGCCTCTCTTTCCTCCGATTTCGCCCATTCCGGCTGCAGGCACCTGGAATTCGCCCATCAGGGCTCGCCCATTACCCTCCGCCTACTCCTGTGTCGGTCCTCATCACCATTCTCCCCACCCCCCGGACGACCAGCCCCCCAGCCCTGCCTCCTGTTCCCCCATATTCCACGTCTTTGTCTCTCCAGAGCCCCCATCTTGTCATTGTAATCCCTTCCCACCCGAGTTTGCCCCCTTCCCTGTCGCTGCCAGACCCAAGTGCGTTCGCTAGCAAACCAGTTTCATTCATCCGTGCTCGCTCTCGGAAAATCAGGATTTTTCTTCTCCGCCTCTTTTTTCAAATACGCATTTACTTCTGCTTGAGGCCTAAACCCCACTCAAAATATCTTGTTTTTCTCCTACGTTCATCAAGACACGAGCTTGTCTGCTGCCACCCCTCTGAAGCATTCTGGGATTTGTAATTTCGTGTGCTGTTTTTCTGTGTCTTAATCCTGACTCCAGTCCCAAGATCGTGATTAAAAAAAGAAAAGAGAGATGCCTTCCGCCTTTGGAGAGGTTTGCGTTTTCTCTGAAGGAGAGTAATTTTGCAGACCAATTTCAGTATAAACATTCGCTCATAAAAAACATTTCCTAGTCTCTGTTTCTTCCCCCGTTCTTTCCTGGGGAGGAAAATGGAACATTTGTA